TTTAGCAGGAAAGTTGAAGGGTTCCTTAGTCAGATCAGGACAGTCTACAACAGAGACTTGAGCATCAGCAAAGTTCTCTTTAAGCCCTTTCTGCAAAACTGTAATAAAGAATAATGGCAAAATTATTGACAATGAAAAATTACCAAGAGTCTAACAAGTCTGACAAGTTTCTAACAACAATACAATGTATCTGTTTGGGCTTTATTTCTGCAAGATGCATTACTTATGCTTACCCTAAGTAACTCCATTGATTTAAATGTTTGCAGGCACTTGTTACATTACTCTGAGCTTCAGAGAGGAGCAGAAGTTTGTGCAGATAATTGTTTGCCACATTAATTAATTTCAAGAATTAAAAAACCATTTTCATTGAAATACAGTGTCTGTCTGCTGCAAGGAGCAGTAGGAGTAGCACAGTGTGAAGTAACATGGGCAAACTTCAATCTCATTTAGCAGTGGGTTTGCTTCAAAGAGCAGACAATTATGATCACGGTCAGATATGATGCAAGAGCAACAGAGGAAGCAAGTTTTAGCTGAAGCAACAATCAGTTCTTTACATACATTAACCAGACAGTTTGCAATAGCTTGATTATAATCTCAAAGTGTCTCTGCTGTCTGGAAATTTCTACCACCATGGGATACTGCCTAGCACGTTTATGCTCTTGTGGAGATTTTCTGGCAAGTGCCACTGTCACAGCAAGACATCTAATGAATGGTGTTAGTGATAATGAACCAAATCTAAAATTTTTGATTTGTGTCATATCAATGTCTTTTTAGGCTCAGAACTTGCAAAGTCACTCAAACAACAGGGAGGATTAGATGAGTGCATTGTTTGGAAACAAATTCCAAACCTTTAGTGTGGGATTGTCTTCACAGACACTGCTTCAAATATTATGTTGAAAGGTCCAGGTTATTTCATGCCTGGGGGTCTGCTTTGACACATGTCTCAAACGAAAGAACAGAACATCCAGTCTGTGATCTCAAATCAGGTGGTTCCTTATTACACAGACTTTCCTGTGCCTTTGTTTCCTCCAGTCAGGGTTTCAGCCACACCTTACTTCTTGAGATCAGATTTACCAAGCTCTTGACCAAAAGTAGTAGCTGGTACTTGGTACATTTCCAAATACATCTCAGTATCTTCTGGCATATGGACAAGGACAGTAAAAGGGCACTCCTCAAATTATACCCAAAATCTGAACAGCAACACAATTCCCAACTTACAGGAGATCCTCGGGACAGATGGAGAAAAAAAAGGAAAATTCTGGTTTGTGATGAAAATTTTCTGATACTCTTTCAAGCTGTTCTACTGCAAGTACGTGGTGTTCTCTGCAGAACTTACAGCTCTACAGCAGCCCTGGCCTACTGCCCCCATCTGACTGGGTGAGAAAAACACTGGGAACCACCCAGGGCACTGCTGGGATCACATGTTCTCAGTACATGGAAATGTCAAACTGACACAGATTTAGGAAAGTGGCAAACTGAACTTAAGGATCAATCTGAAAGACAAAAAAACTTCAGTATATCTGCTGCAGGGGAGAGACTGCCAGAAGGAATAATGTCTTCCAACTAGGGCAAGAAAAGAAGCTCATGAGTAACTGGGCTGAACCCAGAAGGCCCTTCCAACCTCAGCCATTCTGTTATTCTCAGCACATATTGCAAAGACTTTAGAAAGAAGTAAACTACAGAAGCTGTTTCCTGCAGCCCCGTTCTAAAGCAGTCACCAGAGGAGCCAACTAGCTCAAGCAAGAGGATCTGCCATGCTACACTGCATCTTGTCAGCTATGTTTTGAGCAGTCCAGAAAAAAAGAAATACTAGAGGGTAGAAAAGGACAGATGATTCTTTGTGTGTAAAGCAGTTTGGTATGTAGTGGTCAAACTTTTATGACCTGCACACAAATCTGCATATTCAGTGGTTTTAAAGGCGTTGAGAGCCCATCTGTATGTTTAAATATCTTGGGGGCCTGGGGAGGAATCATTGTTTACTCTAAGAAAATCATCACATATGGAGAAATAGTGCTGTTCTTCACCCCTCAGTGTACTAAAAACAGGAATTCTGCATGTACTAGCTATAGAAGGACTTTGGTATGAGCTTTAAGATAAGTTTGAAGGGTACATTATAAGTGTGTATAAAGTCACATGTTCATTACTTACCCCCAGCAAGCTCCTCCAGACTTGGGACATGAAAAGCAAACCTTTCGACTTTGGCCATTTCCTGATCAGTGCTGATTTCTTCAGGTAAGAAGTTACAGTACAGCACACTGCAGAGTCACTGGTCTGCCAACAAAGATAATAGTTTAACAATTTAAACATGCTCCTTTCAACACGTTAATTATTTTTCAATTTCACTCTAGAATACATAGAAAAAATAGAACTGTAGTTCTGGCATCACAGGAGAGACTGAGAGCTTCAATAGCAATGTTAAATTTCTTATGCATTTTGGAAGGAGATGTGTCTGTCAGCAATAAAACTGGCTCAGAGGATTACACATATTAGTCCTCAAGCTGACAACTGGGTGTAGGGAAAACATATCCTACACTGAATGCAGATGAAGTGATCTGGAAATTTGGGTGTCTTTTGTAAGCTTGGAGTCATAAGAAAGTTTTGAAAGAAACCTGAGCTTTTCTGCACACATCAGCTGCCTCCTAAGGTCTTCCCAAACTTAATGTTTACTTTTCCAGCACTGGCTACGGTGGACTTTCAACCCCAGCTGTGACATGATCTCCAGTGGATTCTAGGCATGTGTTTCCCCTTCCAGGGAGGAAAAAGCTAGCAGCAAAATAGAAATCAACAGCAGCAAGTTCTGCAGTATCAGGCTCTGTACCCATACAAAAAGTATGTAAAAAAAAATATGTACTGTAACAAAAAAGTTTTGAACATGAGTTTAAGAGCTCCTTCAGAAATGAACTGTACTTCAGTCAGCCATGCAACAGCAAAGCCAGCTAGAAGGGCAAGGCACTAGGTCAGTGCAGAAACAACTGATTGTACACTACCTAAAAACCAGCTGCAGCAATCATTAACTTCTTAGGCACATACTTGCTACACACAGCAAAAAAAATAAAAGGTGGAAGGAGAAAAAAGCCAAAATCCTAACTACATTCCTAGACCTGATTGAGTCTTTGTTAGGAAGGACTATGGTGTGAGACAGCTGCTTATGTATAGTTCTAGCTTCTGTTTTTAGAAAATCCTAACTTTTACGACTGTCAAAAAATGTAACTGTCCTTACACCATTAGCCTCTTGAGTCTGCATAAAGGAAAAAAAAACCAAACCAGAAATAAGAAGAGTGGGGAGATCATAGCAGTCACTTAACTGGAAAAGCCAAACCAGTGGAAAAAAGAAAGAAATAAGAAGAGTGGGGAGATCATAGCAGTCACTTAACTGAAATCTTTGAGCTCAATGCTCAGTCATCCCAAATTACTGCTGTAACAAGCAGTAGAGAAGGGAAGAAAGACAAAAACCTCTGTATAATAATTCTCATCTTAGTTGGATGAAGGCAAGTCGAAGGAGTTGCCTTCGTCCCTCCTCTGGCCCCGAAGGAGAAAGCAGCAGGCTGGATTTGGTGCCTTGGTAGAAGCCTCATGTCAGGTCGAGTGACTCATACCACAAGACTTCTAGTGTACACCAAGAAAGGGAGTAATTAGCCACAGGCAGAAAGTGAGAACATGGCTTTGGGAGGATTGTTTTAGGTGATCCTCATCCCCTCAAGTGCCTTTTGCCACATCCAGGAGGAGGCTGTGCCAGCACTCAATACATTGCTGTCCTGACACAGTCTGAGAAGACAAGCTAGAGCTGCTGTTGTGCAAAAGGCAGAGACAAGGCTTGTACAGTACTCAAATAAGTTAGCTCCCCACAATCAAGAAAGGAGGGAAAAACTGTGGAAAAATTTGATGTACCATAATAAACCCAATCTGATTGGTAGACAGTAGTTCTTATCGGGAAAGACACAAAAGAGTGGATCTGTGTCCTACCACTGCAAATATCCACAGGGGAGTGAATTGTGTGGTGTGGGACAGAGAGAACCTGGGACAACAGCACACAATAAAGATCCATCACGGAGGGGTGCAGTGACACTAAATTGCTACAGAAAAATTTCAAAGAAAGAACAGAAATGCTAAAGGGGTGATAAAATTATGATGGATGTGGAATGGTGTAACTAGAATGGAAGCAACAAGTATGTAAAAACTTCAAAGTCTACCTTTGAAGTGGGAAGAAAACATCAGAGAGAGCAGCCAGGTGCCAGAAGGCAGATGAAATGTGAAACATTAGATTAATTATGTGTATGGGGTGTCTATTGTCAAAAGCTGATTTGAAATTAGCTTGGAGAGTTAAAGCCAAAAAGGAGAAGTTATAGTCAGACATGAGTCGGAGAGGAGGGTGGTGGGGGGAGAACTATCCGCAGAAAAAACTGAAGATGGCAGTTGTGAGCGAGAAATTTAGCGATAACACCAAGAAAAGCAAGACATCCACAGATGCAGAAGCCGTGTTTCCTGCCTGGGGCGGTGCGCGGCGATCCCGTACGGGGCAGGGGAAGGTGCGGGGCAGCAGAAGCTGTTTGAGCGGCTGGGAACTGGGGAAGGGACGGGCCACGGCGGGGTATTGCCAGGCGAGGCTGGGCTCCGAGGGACACAGCATCCCGGCAGGCAAAGGCAGCGGAGAGCACTGCAGCGAGGGAGCGCTACAGCCGGCGGCACGCCTGGCACCGCTGCGGGGGGAGGAAGGGGCTGCTCGGGCTGGAGCAGCCAGGGCAGGGACAAGCAGCACAGCAGGAACGGGAACCTCTCACCGGCCGGGAAGCCGCGGGAAGCCGGGAGCTGCCCGAGCTCCGGCGCGGACGGACAGCCAGGACCGCACTGTACCTGCCCTGCCGCCGCCTCCGGCACAGCGAGCCGGGGCTCGCTCGGCTCCGCCCCCGGCGCGGCCGCCCCGCCGCCACTCCCAGCATGGCGCCATGCCCCTCCTTCTCCCCCTCCTTCCCGCCGGCCCGCGCGCCTCTCGCGAGCTCCCGGCGCTATTTAAGGCGCGGGCGGCCATTGCGCGGCCTTTGCGGCGGGGCAGCGGCGGGCGCAGGTAGGCTGCTCCTGGCGGGCGCATCCGCCGCCATCCGCGCTGCCGGGGCCCGGCGCCGCGGAAGCCGGGGGTGGAGGGACGGTCCGGGCGCTCTGGAGTCGTGCCCCAAGGAGCGTGTGGCGGCGGGGTGTCCCCGGCCCTGGTGACTTGGGGCCTGCCCGTGGCGCCGGCCCCAGCGCGCCGCTGCTGCAGCCGAGCCTGGCGAGCGGGCGAGTGGTGTGCCTGGAGCCTTGGTCAGGTTTTCAGCAAGGTTAAATGGTTGCTTTTCTTCCCCAGGGGATCTGCGTGCTGTGCCAGCGCTGCAGGCCGGAGCTGCGGCAGAGACCTCGAGGGATGCTGAGCTGCGACTTGTGAGTAGCACGCAGGGCGTGTGCGCTCGGAGCGGCATTGCTGCCGCTGGGCTGGTTGGTTTTGTTTCTGGGCTTCGTGTCTGTCAGGCCAGGGGTGAACCCGTGAGCAGTGTGCCTGCAGAGGCACGAAGGCCTTTCTCGTTGAGAGGGACCCAAAATGAACTCAGGATTGGAGCTGTGGCCTCACCAGTGCTGAGTACAGGAGGACAATCCCTGCCCTGCTCCTGCTGGCCTCCCTATTGCTGACCCAGGCCTGGATGCCATTGGCCTTCTTGGCTGCCTGGGCACACCCTGGATCATATTGGGCTGCTGTTAACCAGCACCCCCAGGGCCTTCTCTGCTGTGACCCAGGTGCAGGACTCAGCACTTTGCTTTGTTAAATCTCACTCACTTGGCTTTAGCTTGTCAAATCCAGCTTGTGCAGACACCTGCAGTCTTCCTGCCCTCCAGCAGAATAGCATTCCCACCCAGCTTGGTGCCACCTGGAAGCTGAATGAGGATGCATTTAAGACCAGCTACCAGCTGGATGTAACTCCATTCAGCACCACTCTTAGGGCCCAGCCATCCACCCAGTTTTTCATCCAGACCATGAGCAGCCAGTTCCTCCAGGAGAATGCTGTGAGAAATGGTGTCCAAAGCTTTACTGAAGTGCAGGCAAACAACATCCACAGCCTTTGCCTCATACATTGGTCATAGAAGGAGATCAGGTGGGTCAGCTGAGGCCTGCCTTTCCTAAATTCATGCTGACTAGGTCCAGTCCTTTGCTTGATGTGCATGTGCCCTCGGGATGATCTGCTGCAGGTTATGTGAGGGCATTGGATAAACTGCTCCGGTGTCTTCAGATGCTGAACTGTGTAATAACGTTTAAAATGTTAATGGGTTTGATAAGTTTGTAGAACTCTAAAACTCACAGTAAAATTAGAAAAATACCGGCCTACAGGGCTAGTAAATTACTAACAGGTAAAATAACTTCAGGCTCATGCAGAGGAAAGCTGGATTCTTTTGCTGTATGTTACAGTCCCTTTTGTACACACTTGTGCTACTAAAGAGCTGGACTGTGTTGTCTTGCAGATTCAAGTGGAAATTAGCATTTTGGTTCTGGTGCTGGTCTCTATAATGACTGAAAACCAAACAAATGGGTGATTTGATTGTTAAGAGCAGGAGATTTTAGGTGTCTTACAGCTCACAAAACAGAAGGAAGATGGCATAGCTTCTTATGATGACACTGGATTAATTTTAACGTTTTAAATCACAGTAAAGTAAATATTTTTGTATGACTTAAAAACTGCAATATCCTTACAAGTATAAGAAGCCATTGGCTATGTCTATGTGTACTTGTTTGGAGGAAAACTTATCCTAAGTAGGGAGAGGGTTCAAACATTCAGAATTCATCTCAGTAAAGTCTCTGAACAATCTTGCACCACTGATGTTTGCCTTCCTTTGGGCAAGAGCTGAACAAAAAAGACTAAAAAATCTTCTGACCTCAGTTATGCTGTGACTATCTTTGGGGTAAGTGGCTGTGACTTACATGTTAGTATGAAGAATATAACTGGTCGTGGTTGATAGGAAAATTTCTGCTCAGGTTTCCTCAGGATTGTCCTTAAGTTTACCCTGTGATCATGAATGGAGTAGAAGAAAGTTTGTTACCTGATTAATGTAAATTTTTATTTTCTTGAATTCTCATTGCTTTTTAGGGCAAACTGAAACATGACTGATACAGATGAATCCCAGTCTTCTGGCTCTGATTACCCTGATGCCCAAGAGCTGATCAGCCCTCAGCAGAAGGAGCCATCTGAGGTGTGTTTATGGCACAGGAATACAGGAACAGAGCGGTCAAGGCAGAAGGTGGCTGCTTTTGGGGAGTCTTCAGATCATCCTGAGAGCACGTGTAAATCACCAGCTGCTTCAGCTGAGGTTTTACTGATCAGCAGTGATTCAGAAAGGTGAGTTTTTATCTCTAGTCCAGAATTTTCCCTGTGGAGAACCCGTGTAATGTATCATAAAAGTGAACCTTCTTTTGAAAGTAAATACTTTTTTCTTCTTCAGTGATGTCTCTGCTGCTCGTCCTGAGTGCTCCACTGCACCTTCAAAGCAGAAAAGGCAATCTCAGTATTCAAGGCAACAAGCTGAATCTGTTACAGAAGTACCTGACAATGACAGCTCCTCAGATTCTTCACTGTCTCCTCAAAGTCCAGGGAAATCATTAGAAGCTTCCAAGCAGCAAAAGTCAAAACTCAATTTGAAGGCCATTTTTGCCTATCACTTCAGGGGAAGGAAGTTCAGAGCAGCTGCACACCGAAGATACAAAAAGAACACATGGAAGAGCAAGAAGAAAAAGTATGAGAGCACACACATGCCCACAGGGAGGCCCCCACTGACAGCATCACCACAGGAACAAAAGAGGAGGCTCCTAGACAGAGGTTTTCAATTCCCTTTTGTTGAAAAACATTATGGGAAGAAGCATATTCCCTTAAAGATGGTTCTTGGCTATGAGGTAAGTCCTCTGTTTTGTGGGATAAATATTTTCTTAAGTCTAAAAATTAAGAATTGAAATGGGCTGTGTTGTGCTTCTACTAGAATAAAATGGGTTGTACTTCTGTTTAATAAGACACTTGATGTTGTAAAATTAATACCTTTTAAAGCAAACACTGCAAGAATATCTATTGGTGTTGATAGAATGTTACGTTATCAGTTCATAATGTAAATGTGTTACAGTGGTATTTTTCATATCTTACCTGAGTATTTTTTTCTACAGCAAGCAGCTGCAAAGGGATATTTCAAGTATATTGAAGTGCTTAAATACGAAGAACATCTTAAAAAAGCTTTGAAAGCCCTTCAGGCCAGTGACGACTTAGAAAAAGAGTGCATGGTGTTACGGAAACACAAATACCTAGATGATGAAGGCCCCATTTCTCCTATTCAGGAGACAGAGTAAGTTCATCTTTACTTGCTTTTTTGTGCTTTACTAACATATAAGTGTGTGTATCAAGTTCAGTTGTTGTCCTGACCTTTTAACCTATGAAAGCATTGTTTATTGTGGGAACAAAGCACTCTACCACTTGGGATATTCTGTGTTTGTAGATGGTGACTTAAAAGTTCTCACAGAAATAAGTATGTTTAATTTGATCTGAAGATTGATAATTTTTGGCAGAAATTGAAATAAAGTATTTGGTGAAATGCACTCCTCTAATGTTATCCCATATCAAATAGTTTCCTAAAACAAAGACTAAAGGATAATTTTAATACCTTTTTACATTATTAAAAACCAAAATGTTATCTTTGGTCTTCAGGGTCAGGCAATTAGCTTAGTGTAGTAAAAAGATCAGTAAATCAGCAAGAATACTTGCTGTTGTAAATGCAACAGCAAGTAACCTTTAGAAAGCCTAAAAGACAATATTAAAGGTATAGTGCTGTTTTTCAGCTACTGTTCAGTTAAGGGCTTGTAGTTTACCCATTTTAAAGTCTATAAAAGTGCACAGTTTGATCTAAATTTTTTATTTCAGTGATGATGATGAGGAGAGCTTGAATTCTGATACTCAGGAACAACTTGATGCCAGAGTAGTGGTAAGTAAGCACTCCTTAACTTCAGAAACACTCTAGCCTTTCTGTTCTGAAGTTCAAGAATTAGTAGATAATGTCTTCAGTATTCAGTTCTTGAGCTTAGATCCAGAGTTAAGTGTGACCTCTGAATTCTGATTTTAGTGCAGAAGGAGCTTGATAGTCCACTCTTTTCTTCAATGTAATGCTGAAATGTATAGGAATTCTGTAGTGCTCTGTAGAGTCCTTAAAATCCACATGTTTACTACTAAAATCTTATATAAGTATCTCAAAACTAGACTCATTACTACTTCTGTCTTCCAATTTTCTTAGGAGAACAGCTCTTTCATTCTAAGCAGCACAATTCCCAGTAAAAAAAAGTCAAAGCCAAGAAGAAAATGTGCAAAAGCACCTGAAGTGATTGAAATAGTGGATTAAGAAGATGGTGCAAGAGAGCTCTGTGCCTCTGCAGGGCTCACACCTCGGTGAGCAGCAGATGGACCAATGAGGTAGCAGTGGTCATTGTTCAGATACCTCTTTCTTGGGCCTGTTTGGTTTAAAACATTGCTCTGGAATCAGTGTTCAGCCCTCCACCCGGCTGCCTGTTTGGCTTTTTGTGAGTATATTGGGCTTGTGCCTGGGACAGTTGCAAAAATAGAATAACCTGTCCTCATGCTAAGATTTTGAATGTCTTCTGTGGTGTTCTCTGTCAAGAGCACAGGATAGAAAAGGATGTGTATACAGAAAAGCATGAATACATCTGTATGCTCAAGTTGAAAGGGCAGTTTAGAGCCTTTCTTTCATAGATGATTCTGTGGGGAGTCCTAGAGAGGTTGTTTTTCTGCCTTAGCGGTGCAGCTTTGAAATACTTTAGAAGTTAAAGGGTTGAAGAAAGAATTATAGCTTTATGCAAGTGCCAACCATAAAAAGGCAAAAGTGGTTGGTCAGTTTTTGCAAAGGTCTATTGAAAAAATGTGGTTCATGGATTTGAATGATAATAAAATCCAATTTTGTATGGTTGAGGTTGTCTATTCCATGTGGAATAAACTCTCAGAAAACTAATTCTCTGCTCCTTAATCTAATACAAAAATCTGAAGTTGTAAGTTATTGCGTAAATAACTAACAGTATAGTGAATCTTGGGTCAAAAATTACTTTTTCCCTCTTTCCCCCCTCTACCCAGAACGGCTTCTGATGTGGACATGGCTTAGCAGAAGCTAAAAGTTCTTTAGTAACAGTACTTGCCAGGCATTGCCCCAGCTGCAAATACCTTTCTGAAAGGCGTTTTAGTAGTGGGAAACATGGCTAGTGTTTGGAAATGGTCTGAATATCCCCATGTCCTCCTGCAGCAGTTTTGGTAGCTGATCGTTTAAAATGTTAACTTGTGAATCAGGAAAATTTAAAAATTAGTCACCTCACAGCCTCACTCAATAGTCTTAACCAAATTGCTGTCAGCAGCTAACTGGCAGCTGTTCAGTGGGTAAAAGTAATCTGTGCTGAACAAGTGTGTTGTCAGAAAAAGGCTTTGTCTGCTGATGAAATTTCCTTCAAATGAAACTGACAGTCTGAGGAGATTTGCAGTAGGTGCTCAACATTGAGAGCAAGTCAAGCTGTGTTATTTACATGCTTGAATTAAGGTCCCAGACCTTTGTAAGGAAGTTTCCCAAACATATCTCGATAGCTCTAGCTAGAACTGCAAAACTTACTCTGCAGCATTTAAATATCACAACTAAAACTGGTTCAGAGTTAATGGCTAAATGTAACTCTTTTAGATGTCTTCCTGAGAAATACTTGAAGGCTTGAAAGACTCACCCTGGATCAAGGAGTGGGGTTCTTGGTAGGGCACACTGAGTGGGGTATGAGTAGTCCTGTTCATTCTGCAGTTCATGTGGTGAATTTGGCTGTTCAGCTGCTGAGTGACTCAAAAATAAACTAAATTTCAATCCTGATTAGAACTGGATAAATATATTTGTGAAAGTCAAGCTTATTACAGCTGCTAAATTGGTTGTTAAAATCTGTCTTTGACTTCAGGAATCTTTAGTTGTTTGACTGTATATGACAATATTTTCACTTTGTTTTTCTTGTCTTTCCTGTCTAGTTTCTGTTGCTTTTGGAAGATGAAATACCTCTTGGTTTTCTTGCTGCATAAGGTAAGCTTGGGTTTCAGTTTTGTTTCCTTTAGGTAGCTTTTTTTCCATTATTTCACAAAAGGTTTTGAAAAAGCAGTGCTCCGTAGTTAAATACATTGGAGTGCTCCATAGCTGAGCAGCAGCTTGTGAGTGTGAAACTTCCCGGGTATGAGTTCAGTGCTGTATACCTTTCATCAGTCTGACCAAAATTAGAGCCTGTAGCCTCTCTCTAAACAAAAACTTCAGTTCTTGAATACTTCAAAGTGCAGTTTTTGTTAAAAAACAAAAGTTTTACCTGCTGTCAAATGCTGCAGCTTTTATCTGATTTGGCTTGGACAACACTGCCTGGAATTTTCTCTGCTGAAGATGCTGAAGAACTACTTTCCTCTCAGTGTCTTCGTGGTGCCTCACCCACACTTTTTGTGCCAGGGTGTATCAACAGCTGCAGCTTCTGGTGGCTTCCCTGTGGTAAAATTCCATCTTAATGTATATCTCTTGCAAGAGCAGGAGGGACAGCAGAGAGCAACTGGTAGTCTTGCATGTACATGGCTGTGAAAGCTTCTTACTGTAGGATGTCGCCAAGTTTGCACGGCTTGGGATAGTGTAGGGAATAGCATGGAAGAAAGCACCTGGTAAGGATACAGCATAGGGAAATCCCTTTGACGTCGGGAACACTGAGCTGAGGGTGGGCAAGAAGTGAAACCTGACAAGAACATTCTTGAGGGAAGGGGTAGGAGCAGACATCTCACTTGGCTGTTGCTGTAGGTGGAGACCTGCACTAGGAAGCACTTCAGGTTGGCACAGTGTCAGTTGTTCTGAGGAGTGTATGTGATTCTGAACTCCTCACAACAATTACCTTGGTTCGAGCTACCACCTCTGGGACTGGACAGCGTGGAACTGTCAGGTTCTACTGCTAACAGGAAGTGTATAGTCAGTTGGGAAGTAGCTTCAAATGCTGTAGTAAAAAAATGAATGTGTTCAGTCTGTTCCAGCACTTGATCAGGTTTTGTCTTTGGCTGTAGACAAAAACCTGGAACCTAGTGCTTAGAAAAAACCCTTCGTTTGCAACCCACAGCTGATGAATGTATTGGTTGTGTTACATTTAAGAAGGGACAATATTTGCATGGCCTCAAGTAGCATTCATTAGTTCGACTACTGATCCATCTAGAGTTTTGTGTTCTGAATTTTCAGAAGTGTAGTTTGGTTGTATCTTTCTTTGCAGATGAGCACACTCACACTGCAGCAGCAGTTGTAACTACTTGGAGATGTCTTGAATTCTTATGGCTGAGATTCACAAATCCTTTACTTCTTTGGACATCTGTGCAACACAGTAGCAAAAGAGGTGAGCTTTGTGTTTCTTCTGAGCTTCACCATAAGACCATTGGGTTTCTTCAGTTTAGTGCTGTTCCCACAGCAAGTAATCAGACTAATTTGTGCACTGTATGGTATCTGCACCCAGCAGTGTCTTCCTGATGGGCTGTTCAAAAAGCAGTGCTACAGTATTTCAACAGCTGGCATCGTTGGTTTTCATGCAGATGTGCTGGTTAAACTTGGTATTTCTGTTGAAACAAGTAGATTTAGTGTTTCCTTAGTGTGCAGATTTTCAAATACAACATCAAAAAACTGTTAAACTGTTACGGGATAAAAGTATAGTTAAATAGTGACATTATTCCAAAATATTTTTTTTAAAGGGGCATGCCTGTGATGTGTGGAACAGATTGGAAAGCCTCTACTCAAGTGTAAGTATTGAGGAAACAGCAGTTGTGTTTTTCCCTAGGTAGAGGTAGTTGTATGAAGAGAAAAGTTCAATTCTTAGCTTCTTTCCTTCTGACAAGGGAAAAAAAGTATTTAAAAAAAACAGGCTATTCCAAAGACAGTGTGGAGTTTTTATGCCTCGTTCTTCAGCGCCTGGACACAACCTGCAGTGTGTCTGAATTGGAAAACGTGGCTAGAAGAGTAACAGGTTCTGCTTTCCTCGCTGTATACTTCATTGCAGTGGTGACAATGAGACCTGTAACAAGTTCACTTAGTGGGACAGTTCTGAAAACATACTTAAAAATGAAGCTACTACAGAATTTAAGCATACCTGTCAGTTGATGTGCCTCAATTCTGCATTCTGTGTACTAAAAGAAGTAGAATCAGCAGGTAGAGAAAAATACTTGCAGTGCTGAATTCCTGTAGAGGGTTTATTAAAAGCATATTTTCAAGGTGTCTTACAATGATCTCTTCCATGCTTTCTTTGTGAGGTAACTCCCTTAGTCTTACCTTCTGTGTCATAGTGCTCTAGTTCCTGCAGATGGACCTTGTTGGTAGTTGTGTGATAAATTGGGCTGTGGTTTGATTGCAGATAAAGTGTATCATCAACATTCAGCCAGTGTAAATGGATTTCTGTCTGCCTGGCTCCATACTGGGATAAAAGCACCCAAGTCTTGATGAACAGCTAAATTACTGAGGAAACTTGAAAGTATTACTTAGATACAACAATTTATTTTATTTTAGGAAATGCACCTGATGTCCCTTCTGAACTAGCATCTTGGTAAGTTTGTGTCACTTTTTTTTTTTACCTTTGCCTGTTTCAGGTCAGCCACCTGTCTTTAACATTGTGAGCTGGTTATGCTGCTGCTCCTCTCTTACTGAGAATATGCATTGTTGTTTCCAAAAACATGAGAACTTACTTTCCCTAAACTTAAGAATGCTGTGAGAAAATTGTTGTGATGATTGGCAAAATGTTCAACTGCTCTGAAGAGAGTGAGTGAGAAGAGCCTTTCTGAACAAATCTGCTTAGAACTGCTGTATGTTCTGCTGATTTGTATTCTGGTTTGTAACTGTACTTGTTCTTTTCTGGTGGCAGGTACTTAGAGAAAAAAAGAGGAAGAAATGCAGGCTGCCATTTCACAGAAGTCTGAAGCTGCTTCAGGGGTTAGTGTGACACCTGAAGTTCTGCCTGTACCTTAAAGACTGAAGGGGCTGTGGTTGTCAGTAGGCCAGAAGTCTCTCAGACTAAGCTTACTGTTTTGTGAAGGTTTTAGGGACAGTTTTCAACATTACACTGCTATATCTTAATGAATCATTCATCCTGTTAAGGGAAGAATTTATTCTATTTTAAGTTTGCCCAAGGAATGCTCATATAAATTCCTCAGTCAAGAACAAGGTGAACAGGTTAACTGCTTAAACTAGTAGTTTTGATCAGTAAGTTACATGTAATAGGAAATCTACAGGGAGGATTCTGCAGAGTTCTGTAGATAATTCCCATTGATGTTTGCTTCTCTGGTAACTTGTAATTAAAAACTACTAATATGAAGGAGATGCTAGTGTATCATTTACCCTCTTCCTTCCCCAAAATGTCTTGAAACAACATAAAATGTCACTTACTGCGATCTGTACCAGATACCTTCCCAGTCTGATTTTTATTTATTCTCTTTTGTGTTGATTTATAGTACCAGAAGTGTTGAGGTCTATCCCGATGGGATCTTTTCTGTAGGTTCATGTCGTTGGAAACGCCTCACAGAACAAACTTGTGGTTTGGCTTTACCCACTTAACTACCTGTTAGCTCTGTGGGATACAACTGCAAGACAAATCTTAGCATAGAGTCTGAGGAATGCAGGATGCTCAGTGTTCTCCTTTAGGTGCACTACAACATGCTTGGAATACAAAACAAAAAGGGATTCAAGTGGAAAAGCTTGGTTGGAGTAAAAAGTCTGTGTGTTCTGGGACTTCAGGTGCAGCTGACACTCTGAATTACATGAACTTAGTTTCTTCGCCAGGTTTTTGTCTAGGACTTGTAACACAATTTTTTGCTGCTTGTTTTCTGGATGGCTTGAAACAGTCTATTCCCCCCCTTTAATCATGCAAGAGTGATTATTATTTCTTGTTTCAGTGGCTGTAGGTAAGAAGAGACAGCACTGTAATGTCTGTTACGAAGCAACTTCAAAAACTTGCTGCATTTTTTGTATCGAGAGATGCTCCACAGTTTCTCATACTGAGCAGCAGTATTTGGTTAATTTCTTCAAGTATGGGGGTTTAAAGAGTTCATTTCTGAGCAGCTCAGCCACTGTACTGCTTTACTGTTAAAATCCCTCGATTCTCTTCTATAGAACAAAGAGTTCAAAGTAAAAGAAGCAAAGTAAAAAGTATAACTCTTCACACAGGAGAATTCTGAAGCTGCTGTTGTGTTAGTCTGTTCTCCCTCTCAGCTGCACGGCAGTTTTGTGAAGAGCACCTCGTACTCCCTGACACCCACTGGTGTCTGCAAGAAGCTCAAATGTAAACTGAGCTGTTGTGGTTGAAGGTCTGTGGCTGTTGCAGTGTTGTGGTACCTGCACCCAGCAGCCTTCTGGTGGGATGTTCAAAAAGCAGTGCAGCATTTGGCATCCTTGGTTTTCAATCTGCTGTGTCTGTTAAACCTGGTATCTTTCCTGAAACAGTCTTTAACCTCTTCAGGGATTTCAGTGTACTTACTGTCTGTTTTCATGTAACAAATGAAAGTAAATGTTTTCATTTGTCTTCATTTTGATTATCTCTGTGAAATAGAGGCTACTAGCCTCTGGAACTCATAAGTGCGTTCAATTCTTTTTGACAGATGCTTGAGGATACAGAATGAAGTGAACTGCCCTGAGTTAAAAAGATGGAAGCAACTTGTTTGACAGGTAAGCACTTGGCTGTATTAGTTCCATATGATTTTACTTTGGTGTATTAGTTGGTGTATTAGCTTTGTATGACTGTAAACATGGGAACTACTAAACTGTTGTAGAACCGAGTCTAGAACTGGTTGTGTAGTACCAAGTGTAGAACTGGTTGTTGTAGTACCAGAGATTACTGGGTAGTAATCACTGCAGATCTTGGCAGTATCTGAGCAGATCACTCTTCTGTGAGTCATTCCTGTGTGTGTATACATACTTCTGCTTGCTGTCACAGTTGTGCAGCCATTTGTAGTACAGGTGTCTGAATTAAAATGCTGTTGGTTGTGAGGAATTCCTCAGTGCTTGGAGCTTGTGCCGTACTTTGGGCTTGTTCACAACTTGGGTTATGTATGGGCAGGATTGATTCATCCTTCACTGAAAAGATGGGCAGCTGGGTTATTGAGTGAAGTCCCATAAGAGCAGTGAGAGGAGTATCTGGTCATTACCAAGGCTGCTGGGATGTTGCTGTTTCTGGTGAGCTGTGGACATGACCATAAAGCAAATCCACCAGACTCCTGTCTTTGCCACATGATGTGGCACCAAGTCTGCTGGGAATAAAGTTTTAACACAGGTCAAGGACACAGTACTCCCTTCTGCTGTTAAGAGCAAGTTCCTCCTGAGGTGTGGGAATGTGGCTTGTAGGGATGTATCCTTGGGCACCTTCAAGGCTTAAGCTACAGGGGAAACAAAGTTCCAGTTGAGGGAAATTTGTAGATTGAATTCCAGAGCTCCTGGTGAAATATGGTTCTTTGGAACAGAAGCAAAAACAGGAGACATCAGCTGTTCCTTGCAATTTACACCCAAGGTGCACTTTTCCCCTGTACTAACCAAACCCAACTCTTGTAACTCCTAGGGTCTGCCACCAACTTGCTGTGTGTCAGAGGGATAAGAAACACCATGTGGGAGCTACCAGAGTGAGTGTGGAGGTAAGGGCACTTACGAAAAAAGCCAACACTGTCAAGAAATTGAAGGTCACTTCAAAGAGGGTTTGCGTGGCTGAAAAACCAGCAGCTCTTAACGCGGTGACCGCATAGTGAAATCCTCTGCAGGATGCCTTGGACACTCCGTGTGTGCTATGGTCTATTTGTGAGGAGATAACACCTCGTGGACTTGGGCTCCTGGGCTGAAGAAGGAAGGGCCTTACCCTGCTGCCTTGGGGCTTTTTGATGCTGAAATATAGAGAGGCTCAGTTCCATTCTGAAGCAGTAACATGCAGCATGAGGCATTAAAGAACAGGGCTGCTACAGCTGTGGCTTGAGCAGCCCAGCTGCTGCTTGTGTGTCCAGAGAAGGGCAGTGGAGCTGGGCAAGGCTCTGGAGCACAGGTTTAATGAGGAGCAGCTAAGGGAGATGGGGTTGTTAAGCCTGGAGGAAAGATGGCATAGGGGCAGCCTTTGCTTTGTACAACCACCTGAAAGGAGCTTGTGCTGAGGTGGGGGTTGGTCTGCCAATTAACAAGCAGCAGGATGACAGGAGGTGACCTCAATTTGTGCCAGGAGAGGTTTAGATTGGGTATTAGAAAGTTTTTTTTTTTTGATTGAAAATGCTAATAGATATTTTTCCTCTCTTAGATCCTGCTGATGTTGCTGCAAGCCTGCTCCAGTGAACTGCACAGCTGTTCCAAATAAAGAACTTTCTCTAGAGTGTTTATTGCAATTTTTTGAATTAAACATTCATTTTAACTTGCTATTCCATGCTCTACTGATAATCCCACAATTACAAATTCTCCACTTGACTCCATGGAGTTTAACAAATTGGTTCTGGGTTATGGTTCATCACTGCAGTGCATGCAACTGCACCAGACTGAAAGAAATGAGTGAAAAGAAGTGTGGAGTTAATTCATCAAAAATCAGCTTTCTAAGAGTTCCCTGGGAGCAGATTTAGAGGAGGCTGCAAAAATGAGCAAGGGATGGAGCACCTGTGCAGAGGCTCAGAGCTGGGGTTTTTCCTGGAACAAAATGCTCTGGAGAGATCTTGTTGGAGCTTTAAGCAGGACCTTTAAAGTTCTCCACCCCTAACTACTGCATGACTTGCTGAGATGCATTTTAACCAGAATGAGCATTAATTAAAAGCCCTTGGTACTGTACCTGTTAATAACTGAAGTTTACAGCAAAAGTTGAGCTTTGAATTTGACCTGATCTGCTTGGCTCAGAAAACAGGGATAGAAAACCTCTCTTTGGAAGAAGTAACAGTGTAAGATTTTTAATTCTCAATCTTAAATCACACAGTGCAAAGAACAGATTAAAAACTCCAGCTTTACAGGACTAATGTCCTGTTACCCAGAGATTCAAATAACTTTAAAACTTTATTTGAAAACATTTTATACATGTATATTACAAAACTTAGTATCTCTTTAAAATATTAACACATAAGAAAAGCCTTTCAGGCTAGTAACTCAATCTGAGACAATGAAGAAAGCAACACAGTCCATCTGTTGTGGTGAGCTCTGAACAGGGAACCACAGGGGTTTGGGGTACTCAGTTTTCCTGCAGCTTAAAGCTGAGGATTCCTAAATGGCTTTGCAATTCACCATTGAGGCTGCACCCCTCACTGGCCTGGGTTGTACCAACACCACCGCATGTCCTTGTTGCTCAAAGTCTTTCCCTGTCATGGTGCTTTCCAAGTCTTCTTGGCTCGCAGCTTCTCCAGCATTTTCTGCAAATAGAGCAAACCATGAGACCACGGTACTGAAGTGACTGCCCTAAAGCCAGCATGGCTGGGTACTGTAAATGAACAGCAGCAGTGGGCAGTGCTGCTCTGGACAGCAGTACCTCTGTTCCAAAAATGCCATATGGGCCAAAGGGCATGGGCAAGGTGTGCTTATTTCTCTTTTCTGTTCATTATGGGAAAGCAATGTAACAAAGAGGCACTCCTTCCACCACAGAGCAGGAGAGCTGATCATGGCTATATGCAAGAATTGGACCTGGATTCCCTACAGCCTGTTAGGATTATCCAGCATTTTCTTCCCTTCAGCTGGCTGAGGCACAGCACAGGAAAGGGGGTATGGACAAGCCTAAGGCCTATTGCTCAACCCTGTTCCACAACTACGGCCATCAAAAACCTGACAAGATTCTTGCACCTTTCAAGTTTGGGTATGCCCAGACTCTTGCCCTACCTAGAGTAGCCAAAGCAGCCCAAAAAACACCAAACCCAGAATGCTGCCTTAAAATGGAAATTTAGTCAAGTCTGGACTAAGGAAAAAGGCTGCAATTCTTTCTCTTGCTACTAAGTTTCCAGCAGCTGGAGCCTTTTTGCTCAAACTCCAGTCATAAAAAAATTCAGCCTGAGGCAGACACACTTTTTAGAGAAAACTTGAGCTCAGCTGTTGACAAGAAAATTCCTACATGAGCTGTACCAATGGCATCACTCAACATCCAGACTGGTTTGAGGGTCTCCATTTCAGCCCCATTTCCACATCTCAATTACTTTGACTGGAAGTTCAGTGAAATCAAGACACCAAAGGGCAAGAGGACACTAGCAAACTGTCATCACCTTTTGAAACTCTTTAGCCTTTTCTCTGTTTTTAGCATAAGTTTCTTGCCTTCTTTTTTCTTCATTTCTGATTTTTACTTCTGAAAGCTGATTATAAAGTCTGTAAAAACAGGAAAAAAAATATATCAATGTCTGGGCAGGAAGGAAGTGGCAAAGATGAAGCAGGGTAACAAGCTTAAGGTTTTGCCCTGGCTCAGTTGCTAGCAACTGGAACAATTTGACTGCACTCTCCAGTAATCCAGAACCACTTCAAATTCTTTTTCAGCTGCATCAAACAAACCCTCCCTGCTTGGAGCTGCACTTGTTGCCTTTAACTGCTCCCACGTGCCCAAGTGCAACTGTGAACTTGGCATCAAATTTCATCCCATGTCAGGCATTAAGTGGCACAGCTGCCTCAGCAGGGTGACAGCAGCAGAGTGACCTTCCTCAGTGCCAGCTCTGCAAGGGCGTTTTCCAGCAGGTACCTGCATGAAACACACCTGGCTCCTCTCCCACCTCGTCAGTGTAAAGCAGCTCTGGATCCAGCTGGAAGGCACAGACTGAGCAGCAGCTTTCACAAGCACAGATTAACTACTTTTTTTCTGTTTTTTTTTTTTTTTTTTAATTAAACTTCTCCCACTCGTTTCATGCAATACCTGGATGTACGCTGGTGCATTTCAATTTCTCCAGACTTCCTGTCCTCTGGAGAAGATACTTTCACTTCTCCTACTTTTTTCAACTGATTGGCAAGTGCACCGTTTTTTCCTAGGGGAAAAAAAGAAGCCAAACATATCCTAAATTTAAATCTCTAGTTCAGCTAACTCAAAAGCATGAGAACTTTCCAAAGATTTTTAAATGTCATGACAAGCTAGCAGAATGGAGCAGTAGAGATTACATCCTGAGTTGAAATAAATCCCCCAGTCTCACTCCTGAGGCTGCTGCCTGTGCTTTAGGCCATCCATGGCTCTCCACAGCTGACCTCCAAGTCCCCAGGACCAGGCACTAGAGATGCACCAGTTTGCCAAACACGGCTCTTTGCTGATAAGCAGCTATGGTTTGCAGAGGCACCTTATGATGACCATGGTGGGCTGACTGTGAAATATGAAGAAAGATGAAGAGCCCCCATAAGGGGCTTTACAACACAGGCAGCCAGACAGTGAGGGAAAACAAAGCTCCCTGATTCCCTGAGAAAACAAATTAAAGAATATCCCAGTTTGCAATAGCAAACATGTAGCAAATATAAAATCTATTCTTTGATATGAAACATCAATTGAAGGGATACCTAATGCTGCGTCTTGCCCTCCACATAAACCTACCAGAGAGAAGACCAGATTTCTGTCTGCTTCTTAAATTCTCAGACTTTCCTCCTAGAAGCTTTCTTGCTTCCAGCTTTTCATGTTCTCTTTCCTTATTTTTTATTGCTTCTACTCTTTTCAGAGATTCCTGGATGAAATTCTGCTTTCTTTTTAAAAAAGATTTTTGTAAATGTCCAGGTGTAGCTGCAAACTCCAGCAGCATCACTGTGAAAGAAAAGGAAAAGTCTCCACATCTTTCACTTTTAATAATGAGCAGTAAGTCAAGCATTTCAAGGTTTTTCTAAAATGCTGAGCTTGAGCACTTTTGTAAATGGCACGAGGAGAATGGCATTGAATGATGAGGCACCTTGCAGAACCAGCAGCAGCTCAGACCTATGGAATCCAGTAATGGTCAGCAGGTCTGCCCAGACTAATGCTGTGAGAAATACTGCATCAAAAGCATCTGGATGCATCAGAACATAAGGAAGACTTGACAAGTCATGAACACAATTAAGTTCTGTGAATTCCTGATCTTCACATTACTGCAGCTCATCTTGGACAAAGAAAGTCTGTATTTTACTACTGTTCCATCAGAATAGGAAAAAAGACAATTTTTTGGCTACAGGACATGGGGGACTAACAGAAAATTACAAATAAACAAAGGTACATTCATTATGACACCAAGTCAGAAAATGGCACATATTTTTTCCAAAAGGAAGTCATTACAAAACCAAACAAGTATAGTGGTAGAGACTCTGAAGTTTCATGAGAGAGAACCTGGCCCAAGAAGAGACAAGTCAATGTGACACACACTAAACCTCACTCAAAGATACTACAGACCAAGCCTGAACAGCAGGATGCACTTGCCTAAGTAAAATCAGCTCTAAGTTTTCCAAATGAGAGGTGTATTTTGTTGATGATTTTAATACTAAAAAAATACTTTCTACTTCAGTGTATTGAAGCACCACATAATTACCTGCAGTCTGTTGAGATGGACAGTGACTCTTGTTGGGACTCTGGGCTTTGGGAGAACTGTCAGGCCTTATGAAAGCTGAATAATCTGCATCTGGAGTTAGTGGTAGAAATTCTCTCTCCTGTTTCAAAAGGATCAGTGATTGGATTGGAAATGCTTAACATGTACGACAAATTTGAGTGAAGCAGTACTACTGTACCACTAGCACAGACCCAAATACAAATAAAAGATTTGTTTTTGCCTTTATGCCTGATGCAAAGAAAAATCAGAAACAGATTTTGGTAATAGGCAGGAAAAAGCTGTTTTCTAAATACATTTTAAAACTTGAAAAAACAAAGAACAACACCACCTACCAAAAAACCCAAAACAAACAAACAAACCCCCCCCCCCAAAAAAGGCAACAAAAAAACGCACACCCCACCACCTACCAAAAAAACCCAAAACAAACACTCCCCCCCCAAAAAAAAAAAGCAACAAAAAAACCCACACCCAAAAAAACCCCAAAAAACCCAAAACCTCAAAAACCCCAAAAACATCCATTAAAGACTTTTGCCTACCAGATTTCAATTGTGTGTTCTTAATACAGGTCTGCAAATCCAATTTATTTTCATTTCCTCCTGCTCTCTCCAGTTCTCCCCATCACTCTCTTCCTTCTGGGTCCTTTCCCCCCTTTCCCAGAGGCAGATGACACCCACTGCAGCAGTACAGCCTCCTGCTGCCAACCTCCACCTCACCCATGTATCAGCTACTTGCTAAAAACCCATCTTAGACACTTTCAGGAATTCTCTAGATGGCTCTTGCAATTAGAGCATGATCTAATCTGTTCATCTAACAGACACAGTTCTACATCAGTGCTTCAGCACCAAACTCTGGTCTCATTACAGCCCACCCCTCTGCAGTTTAC